TTTTTTTCATAATTAAGATGTCAGGTAACAATAGTTCAATATTTATCAAGAGTCTAAAAAAATATTAATCTATCTTGTTGTCAAGGTTTTTTTTAAAAAAAAATGAACAACAATGGTGGGATGAAAATTTGATTAGGAAGTTCTCATAGACAATAGAGCGGTTTTTTTTTTTGGGGATAATCAGCAAATTTCTAAATCTTGTCTTTCTTACTGTAAAAGCACTAAGCACTATCTGCATGGTCAAATCGGACGGCTTTATTTAAGAATTTTAGCAGTTTTGAAATGATCTATCTTGCGTTTCAACTTCGACTGACTTCCAAGACTGACTAATTGATTTCATGTACTATCAAATATGATTCCATTTAGACATGGAAGTAAAATCCAATATAGATATAGATAATATATAAAGTACAATCCATAGAAAACGCAAACTACAGATTCGAATGTTGTGCTAAATAGTTTATACAAGTAAAAGACCAACCGGATATGGGTTTTAGGAGCTCTGTTAGAAATGAAAATCCATCGAGATCTTAGGATAGCTATAAAAGAAATCAGAAACGGATGTGCACAATATCTTTGCTCGATTATGAGTTATGTTATGTTCAGGTCAATGTAAATGAATTTCCTTTTCTAAGCGTATTCTATTGTGATTGGAATAATGACAATTTTTCTAAAATGTCTGAATATAATAAAATACTTTGCGGATATATAGGTGTCGAAAGAGTTCGATTGTTATCGAAAGGGATATAGCTGATGTTTGTTTTACCAGCCAGAGTAATTTAATTTCTACTATCCATATCACTTGTCAGAGATGAATATTTGCTTTCTGTCCTCCAGCAGTTCGACATAATCATACCTTGGGAGTTTGACCGTTGTCAATTTTGATGTTATCATGATATTGATATTGTTAGGGTGTATTGAGACGAGTCTCAGTGAAAGCTCTGGCCTAGATCACAGAGCAATAGATAAGCTTATTAATTATGTGAAAATTAGTTGATTAGTCATTAGTATGATTTTAGTTACAAGGGGAGAGTAGCCAGTTGTCTTTTCACTCCTGAAACTACTTTGAAATAGCGTGAGATACGTTACACCATCATATACCAACAATGACCTTTAAACTCAAACCTATAATCAGTGCGAATTTTATTTACTCTCTTCGTGAAAGCGAAGAAACAGAATCGTTTTGGCCAGTGATATTTCACTACGGAAATTGTGGAATCATTGTGCGTCAACTGGTGAGATAGGATTAAATGGGTACGGACTAGAGACTAACTCATCCATTCTCCCTTTATTTTGAAAGTGGTGCGGATAGCTGAATATGTGCTTTTATCAGCTGGAAAACAAATATTTTGACTACTATAGACTATTGCTAACCGTGGTATGGTATAGGTTTAAAAAGGTTAGAGTGAATTGATATTCGATAAATTGCTGACTATTTATTTATCTAGGTGTCATTCCAATATTTAAAAAAACGAAAAGGAAATATGACAGCTTATTTAACGCGAAAAATAGAATGTGCAAAATTTGTGGCTCTGCAATTAAGTTATCAGCAATATTGTTGTTCAAATGATTATTGATTACAGGTCTATATTGAGTATGATATTGTCATGTTTATATCGATTTACTGTGATTACAAGCTTACGTTGGTCTTTTATGCCTATTTTATGGCAAGTCGGTGCTTTTTTACGGTAATGGAATTTTCTCTACTGTAATAAAATAGACGATTGCCTATATCTGGTCAGTGTTTCGTGTACTATTATAATTCAGTTCAGAAAGGAATCTAAACAAATATATATCCTTTAATATCCCAGTGTCAAAGAAAGCTCAAAAGTCGGAATTACTAACATAGGCCTAATAGATTTGATTAAGATCAGGAAAAGACGCGGGGTATATTTATTAAATAATTAGCTCATAGAAGCACTCATTAACATGCCAATTAGGGGCCGCCATTACATAAACTTGGTTTTTATCTCCAATATCTTTCTTAAATAATTTAACAAATTCAACTATGTGTTTAAGGTCAATGGAAACACTAAGTCTATTTCTGAAGTAATAATATCACTTTTGTGTATATAGAGAAGAGTATAATTGTGTCAATTACAGAAAAAGAAAACAAATGATATGTATATTGTAACAGCGTAGGCTAAACGAGCATTTCAAAAGTAAAATTTTCTAGACAGTATAGGCATGCTAATACTCGTATACCCAGCTTCTGGTATGTATTAAAAACTAATATTTTGTCTTGTTCTAAATAATTGTTCATTTGATTCTGTTTAAATTATACCAAAAGATCAGCATAGCACATCTTCAAAGATTATATCACCATTATATCAAGAGTAGGAGCAATCACTGGGGTCGATATGCAAGAAAAGTTTGCTTTGTGAGTGATGATTATCAGATTCTGTTAATGTTGCAAGACATAATAATATTGTACAAAACTGGGTAATCAGAAACTGTGTGTCCATTGAGTGACGCACTCTGATTCCATTTCATGCGTATTCTTTACCAAACTATATGGTTTCACCACCATTGTAGATCTACCATCACCTGAGGGATGATTGCGTTTTCATGCCAGAAGGTATTCGGTATTTGACTCTGCTCATATCGCAAATCAGAGTTGCAGTGCATAGCTGCCCAACTAGCGTTTTTCCTCAGTTAGCCAATACGCCTCTGAATATAGCTCGAACACATATTGTGGTCTCATCTTCTCAGAGTTGCGTCCCTTGATGAAAATGAAAAAGAACGTCAGCTTCAGCAAGTTTTCGTTATTTTATGCTTTTACTGGTGTAAGTTGTTTATCTAAAAATCGTATTTATCAAGAGATATTTATTAACTGCTTGCTACATAAACATAGCTAATAACCAATGGGAAATAAGAACATCTAGTGGGCAATATGGACATATTTGATAACCAGTCGATATCGAGGTACATGTAGTTAACCGGGCTGAACTTTGCGTACACATTCAACTAGCATACAGATTCGTGTCGAATCGTCTCTGCATACACATTCGCGGCAAATCGACCCGATATGAAATCTGAATTATTTCTAACTGTTAAAATAACTTGAACATTTTTAAGACAAATACACATAAGAATTCTTTCAATTTCGCAGACACCTATATGTCTAACTCTTTGTACTGTGGCCCAAAGTCACACTTGTCATTATTCGAAATATCAAATCACCAAATTGCTGTCTCCCTTACTTTTTGTACGGAGGCCCATATACAGTGGTGTAACCTATTTTCGTGGATATAAGGATTCAACACCGAATTTCGTCAAAGTTAAAAAAACGAAAAAAGTTTTTTTATGTCTTAGATGTTTCCTCAGATATTCTACAAAATAATTAAAATTGGTTTATTTCGATTTTCTTGATGAATCCTTCATTTTGGCCCATATTTCATGAGCAACCAACTCGGCAACGGCGGCAGAATACGTCACCTATTTTCGTGTACAATGTTTGATCTATAAATAAGTCCAGAAAAACACGTTGTATAGATACCGGGTGGTATAATTAACTTCTCTTAGTATTTATCTTCAATATCAATTCATTATAACTAGTGACAATTCCTTCAAAGAACCACGATTTTAAAAAAAAATAGTGACTGACAAAATAAGATACGTAGCGTGATTTATTGCTAAAAGTCACTGAAACAACATAAGAATATGGTCCACTTTGTGTTCCATAGAAATTTTCTGCTGACACGGAATCCGCTAGTTGATCACGTGACTTCATTCGTTGGACTACATTCTAGCAGACGACACTTGGAATTCCGATTACAGCGTAGGATTATAAGGAAATTCGGCCGATAAAAAATTGAGACGTTTGGTAATAACTGAAATCCGCCATTTTGTATTTGTCAAAGTATACATTAATACATTTTACCTTGATTGAAAGTACTGAATTCATTCTACTAGCTGATATTGTAGAGAAAACCCATGTTTATCAAAACAAACTAATGCGGAGGTCGCGCAAGGTCGCTCATGTAAAATATTAATCGTTTCCGGAAATCCACGAATATTAGGTT